ACTTCACATATGGGGAGCAATATTATAGGCAGAAACATGGGTGTGTGATGGGGTCTCCAGTTTCTCCTATTGTTGCCAACCTGTACATGGAGGAGGTAGAAAAGAGAGCCTTGACGTCCTTTTCAGGGACACCACCAAGTCATTGGTTCAGGTATGTTGACGACACCTGGGTTAAAATCAAATCTCAGGAAGTCCAACATTTTACTGACCACATCAACTCTGTGGATAAATACATCAAGTTCACACGAGAAAATGTAAAAAATGGCAGGTTGGCTTTCTTGGACAGTGAGGTCTCAGTCTCTGATAGAGGACATTTGCAAACTGAGGTGTACCGCAAACCCACCCACACAGACCAGTATTTGCTGTTTGACTCCCATCACCCTTTGGAGCACAAGTTAGGAGTCATCAGGACTCTGTATCACAGAGCAGACAGCGTCCCCACTTGCTCAGGAGCCAGGCAGAAGGAGAAATCCCACACAAGACAGGCTCTAGAGCAATGTGGATATCAGAAGATCAACATCATCAGGCCAGGACTCTGCGGTCTACACTCATCTCCAGGCCAGTGGTCACTCTTTCAGGGATGAAGATGTTCACATCCTGGACAGAGAGGAACGATGGTTTGAGAGAAGAGTAAAGGAGGCCATATTTGTGAAAAGAAATCGTCCATCGTTAAACAGGGGTGGAGGCCTCCGGGTTCAACTGTCCCCCTCTTACAATGCTGTGATTGCTAGTATCACTCAGCCCTCTGTGAATAGTAAACAGCCATCAGTGTGCTAATGATCCATTGTTAGGCTGATGGTCCTTCTTGAGCATGTGATCAGCTGGTTTTGGTTGTCAGCAGCAAAACTGGTTGATCCACTCTGAGACGGTGCTATTTAAGAGACTGAGCTGAATACAGCTCCTCAGACTGAGGAAGTCTCTCGGATGAGAGACGAAACATTTCTACATTTTTTTGTTAATTTGCTTTGTTTTTTTTTTTGAATGTCCAGAGGACCAGATTTAACTTTTTTAGATTTTTCTACCTGGATTATTGAGCATGCATCAGGATATTGTCATAAGAATATTTTCTTAGTCTTAATGTTAACCCCACCAAGAATATTTAAATACACTGAACCATGTGTTCAGCTTTAATGGCTGTACGCCTAAGATTTACAGAGGAAAAAATCGTGAGAATGAGTTTAGTATTCAGCTCTGACTGATTAAACGCGCAGATACTTCATTGCTCCTGCTAAACATGTTACACTGAGTGGAGCGGTCGACCTTTCCAAGATGGCGGCTCTACAGATCGTCAGCGCCAATAGGCGATAGCGGTCTCTAGTGTTTATATCTATGCTCCCGATCAGTCCGCCCCTGTGACGTCATGTCGTAGCATAATTTCCGTCATAACATCAGTAAAATCTTTAATTAAACCCGTGCTATGTTTAGGTGGCCGGTAGATTGTGGCGCAGAGTAAAATAGAAGTTTATCTCCACCATGTGAAGTTCAAAACTCTGGGAAAGCACCTGACCTCGCGGGAAATGTCGTCATACCAGGAAGTTTTCTGTTTTTTTTTCTCCTCGTTGTCCTGTTCTCAGTAGAAATGAAATGGATGTTGAAATGTAGCGGGACCTTGAAGCGTCTCGTGTCTCCACGGTGGAGAAGAAACATGACGACTTTCCTACATTTAGCCGCCGCTGCTGCCTGAACAACGCAAGTAGGTGACGTCAAGACTTTATTTGGTACACAGAGAAAACATCCATTCTTTGACGTGTGTCATCACATGAAGACTGAACACCTGCACCGAGCTAGCAGAAGTTTGTCATGACGTCCATGACGGTGTTAAGAGGAGTCCTTTTGAAGCTGAGGGGCTCCTGGCACAAAACCGGCTCCTCATTCCTCAGGTTCAGGCTGGTCCAGAACGGTTTTCCTAAAAGAGGGCAGGTTGTAGCCCACTTCCCCAGGGTACTGCGGTAAAGTGAGCCTCCACTCGGCTCCGGCAGC